CGGAGTTTGCTATCGCGGTGCGACCATAGATCCCAGTTTGGACTCAGAAATATCGACAAAACCGGCAAGTCCTTAAAGTCTCATGAGACCCGACATGTTACAGTCGTAAGCATAAATCAGGGAGATGACTTGATGTCTTGGACGAAAACCTCCTTTTATGCCATTCTCAGATCACACGTCCTCAGAGAAAGCCAGCTATCAGTCGGCGTGACTCCGATTATTGTAACCTCGAGTAAAACCTGCGGCGTATGCTACGCACGTTGCTGAGAAGATGCGGGAGCGTGCCTAGGAGGTTGTCAGGGGTATGGCGATGGAAGAACCAGTAGCATGCACGGCTTTAGCCATCACTACAGGGAGGAAACCCGACTCGCTCGTGCAGGAAGCTCGCCAGTGCCGAGTGGTGGGGTAAAGACCGGCCTTAATCACTTCGAGATGCCCATTTCAGCGTGTGTGCAACTCTGTGCAATATATTGGCCCTCCAATTCATCCCGTCAAGTCAAGTTGAAGCGATGTCTTAATGGCGCAAATACATATAGGCCATGTGTCGTCCGGAAATGTTGCAGGTCCGGTGAATAATGTGTTCAGGTACGCAAACCTTGTGGCAAGCCGAAGATGTATATGCCCACTTCTGTGATCGCCGGAGCTACGGTGCTCCCATCACCGTTGACTAACAAGAACCCGGCCAACAGCCAACCCGGTTCTTTCGGCCCCCTCACTCTCCGGGCAGACGGGACTTTCCAAGTTTCTATCCTCGAAGATCTACACTTCGGCGAGAGTATGTTCAATCTAATATGCCCCTTTGCTAACACTATCCACTCACTAACACGATTAGATGCATGGGATCAATGGGGCCCGCAGCAGGATATCAATTCGGTCAAGGTCATTAACGAGATCTTCGACAAGGAGTCTCCTGGGCTAGTCGTATTAAACGGTGATCTCATCACAGGCGAAAATGGATTCTTGGAGAATAGCACTGTATATGTTGACCAAATTGTCGGCCCTCTCGTCAGTCGGAACTTGACCTGGGCATCCACCTATGGAAATCACGACTACGACTACAACATCTCTGGTAACGCCATCTTAGAACGTGAGAAGTTATGGAAAAACAGTCGAACGTCTTCCATGGTGCCAGGGGATGTCGGAACATCAAACTACTATCTCCCAGTTTACGAGCACGGCTGTGTGAACGAACGCGCCTGCAGCATAGAGTTGCTCCTCTGGTTTTTCGACAGCAGAGGCGGATTCAAGTACCAGCAAAAGGACGCCTCGGGCAACCGGATAGGCCAGCCGGACTGGGTTGATGCCAGCGTGGTGGACTGGTTCGTGCAGACGAGCAGTCGTCTTGCAAAGAGATACAACAAGACAATACCCTCACTAGGCTTCGTTCATATCCCCCCATACGCCTCTTACGCTCTCCAAGAAGCTGGTGTAGATCCGAACAGGGAACCGGGCGTCAACGATGACCTACCACTTGCGCCGCAAGCTCAGGGGTGGTGTCGGGACGGCAGCAACAACGGGAGTTGCAGCTACGGCGCCCAAGACACGCCATTTATGCAAGCGATATCGCACACAGAAGGCCTAATGGCCGTCTTCTCTGGGCATGATCACGGCGACACATGGTGCTACAAGTGGGATAGGCTGCTACCCGGCATGGATGTAACGCCGGCGAATAACGTAACCCTCTGCTTCGGGCAGCACTCGGGCTATGGCGGGTACGGCAACTGGGAGCGGGGGTCTCGACAAGTGCTCGTTTCGAAAGAAGGTCTCAAGAAGTATGAGGCCAAGACTTGGATTCGCCTGGAGTCGGGGACTGTGGTGGGAAATGTCTCGTTGAATGGTACATATGGACAAGACCTTTATCCGAAGACGAACTCATCGATGACCTATTGCCCTACTTGCATGTATCGGCGGCGCGCGAGGCCTAAGTAGTGGGAAGATATAGGGAGCGGTCATGTACAACAGTTGGCGGAGGATTTATTCGATGGGTAGGAGTTATAACGATCTTGGTCAATACATATTCAGATTTTGCAACCATGACCTGCAACTTCATACAGTGTTCATGCAGATTTGGTGCTGGCTTCCTGACCTGTTGAATGAGAGTGCATCGTTTTCAGTGCGCTCTCGGTCTGCGGCGGAGATAGATGGTCTATAACGTAGCCGGCGATAATGAAGACAGGATAGCAAGCTCCCATTATCTATTTTCTATTCCAGATGCGTAGATCAAGATAGTCATTACTGATATCGCTTATCGACGGTCCAGTCCCCTCACTAGCCGTTCACTGGCTTTGTTAAGCTACTAGCGCCTAAACTACGTCGAGTTCGTCGTCGAAGGCGAGCCAATAATTATTACCTGCGTAAATCAACGTAACTCAATTATTCGCAATGTTGTACAGCATAATGAAAAGAGATGAATCAAATACCTTTGTTTCCTTAAAGTCGGAAACCTATTCAATAGGTTCCCGAGAACTCGTATTGTGGTTATGGTATTTGACAACCTCCGGCTTCGGATTTCAATGTTAGGGGGGTAACAAACGGTCGGAAACGCCCCGGCGCTAGGGTCGTAGGATCATTGCATGACCCCGCCGGCACTTGCAGGTAAACGTCTTACCACGTAACGGCCATCATGGTGCCATTTATGGGTTACCTGTTGTATGGAACTCCACGCTGAATACGTCAGAATGCACAACATAATTACATGTATGCAGTTGCTTGCCAACTATCTATCTACCTGCCAGTTGCAAAGGCCACTCTGGTTATACAATCTGAGGCTATCGACTCTGATCATCGACGCTTAGCAAGAGTGAATATACGCTTCAAGCGGTGCATTTTTGCTACATATCTTACTATGTAAGAAGATATTTCAAGAAAGTCTAGATACTACCTAGTAATACTTCGATGCAGATAGAGTAGTACTAGATATGGAGCTAGATTGACAGAAACTCCACTCCAGCGTAGTCTGGACAGCTTGGGTTACCTATCTACAGCCTAGTAACCATCCACGTCACTCTTCACGCATTAGTCGATAAGATATCCTGACCTTGACTCCGCATACAAAGTAGATTATTCACGTCATGGCAAGGTGGGTGTTCTTAAGACACATGATAAGTATCAAGGATTCCATGCCACGTTCGGTGTAGAAAGGGTCGGTGAAACAAAATAAATAAAAAATAATGAAGAAAATAATCTCGCCAAGCCAGTATATTCGACGGTACACATAGCGAATAACGGATGAGCAATCACATCACTAAACCCCATCAGGGTCGCACCTAATGCTGAAGCCGTGGCTAGAGCACGGGATCCGATCCCTAGTTACAACTTACTAGTAAATTCACCCCAGAATAGTAATCCACATTGTAAAGTATATAATGAATTGCTTGTCCTCCTGGAAGGTTTCTATTCTGCTAGGCTTTAAAATATCTAATTACCCCTGGAGCTTGTAATTCCTTAGAAACGCATCGTGACCTCGACGCAACCTAAGCCGCTTACACCCCCTGCACTTAACAGCACTCCTATTATCAATATGTCGGGATTTTACAATGTTTTGCATCAGTTTCTTCGCCCATCAAAACCCCGCCTAGTTGAGAAAGATGTCCCCGATCTGACGGGCAAAGTAAATACATACCTCTCATATACTCGTCTATCGACCTACGTGACTCGTGTCTATGTTTACTCATGTATTCTTGATTTCGAATGCATATGTTGGTACTAATGATGACCACAGGTCACGATCGTGACCGGGGCGAACACAGGCCTCGGCAAAGAAATCACCCAGATCCTCTACTCCAAGAATGCCAAAGTATACATGCTTGCACGGTCCGAAGAGAAGACGAAGAAGGCCATAGATAGCATCAAGGCTGCCGTGCCTAAGTCGAGCGGAGAGCTGATATACCTACACCTCGATCTCGCCGATCTTACGAGCATAAAATCCACCGTCGAGAAGTTCCTCAGTCGCGAATCCCAGCTCCATCTCCTCTTCAACAATGCTGGGGTTGCATTCCCCCAGAGCGGTTCAAAGACGAAGCAGGGCTACGTACTCGAAATCGGAGTTAATAACCTAGGACCCTTCGCCTTCACCAAGCTCCTGACACCGACGATCGTTGCGACCGTCAAAAAGTCGCCCCCTACCAGCGTCCGCGTCATCTGGGTTTCATCAAATGCCGCCGAGGCATATAGTCCCAAGGATTTCGTGAAGAAGGTCGAGCACGCCGAGAATATGACGGCGGTGGGCAAGTACTTCTCATCGAAGCTCGGCAACTACCTACACGCAGCCGAATTCGCGAACCGGTATAGGGCGGACGGGGTGATCTCGGTGCCGCTGAACCCCGGCGCGCTCGACTCGGACCTGTGGCGGGAGCAGACTTCTTTGATGCAATCGTTTCTGCGCGCGACCCTCCTGCATCCTCCTGTGTACGGCGCATACACGTGTCTATACGCTGCGTTCTCCCCCGAGATTACACTTGAGAATTCAGGAACCCATGGTCAGTGCTGTCTGAATAACCAAGGGGAGTCCCGATACTAATGGAAATATAGTTGCGCCCTGGGGCCAGTTATGGGAGGTGCTGCCAGAGATGGTGAGGGCGGGGAGGAGCCTGGAAGATTGCGGTGATGGCACAGCGAAAGGGTTCTGGGAGTGGAGTGAGGAGCAGGTTAATAAGTATATCTAAGCGAGTTGGAAGTACGGCGTCCTTAACGGCGTATATGTTTTATTGTTAGCATTATCTTTTTGGGAGTTGAACAACGATCTACAGTTGTGAGGGGTGCATTCGAATGTTAGGCATCGTCTGGGCACCACTTCTGACTGTGATCAATAGAAGCAGAATGAGCGCGAAACATCCCAGTAACCATGTCCCTGAACAGGTAATAAATGGAATGCAGAGTAAGCAAGAGCTAAAGATCAGAAGCTTCGCACCCAAAAGAAATCTGAAGATATGAATTAGTTTGGATATTTAGTCTTGTTAGTGGTAAAAAGTTGAATGATAAAAAGCAAAAGTTAAGCGAAATGCCCCGACGCGGAATCGAACCGCGGATCTTGTCATAACACCGCAAGTATTAACATACTACGAGTGACACGCATTACCCCTGTGCCATCAGGGCGTTCTGATTGGTTGATCTCCAATTGCTTGTTGAGAATAGTCGAGGATCTTGGCGGTTATGAGGAGCAAAGCGAAGAAGATCTACGAAGAGTTTATCCGAAGTGGTGGGTATGGTGGGACCGTTATCTCAGGAGGCCCACTCTGGATGTGGAATGTGATTCGCTCCACTTGATAGATTCGCCTGATTTGGCAGCTTTTAAAGGTACACTGTGAGGGAAGGGGAAGGCACGAGCATGGAAAAACACGGCAAGCACTAAATATCTCCTTGCAACACAGCGTATTTGCATCAAACTCAATAGTTCCCTAATAAAAATTTGCGTTCTATGAGGAGCTCAATGTATACTCTCACCTCTCACCTTGTAGGCATAAGAAAGATACATACGGCGCAAAATATATCGTCCCTAATAAGGCGATGAGTGGAGGATGCAATGCTCAAAGCTTCTAGACATACTCAGGAGACATTAGGTATTGCACATTCTAAAAAACGCGCTTATCATCTACCCAGAGGACCGCCTATTGAATTACGTTATTTTAAACGATCCGTTTACTAAAGGCCCTCCTGACGCAGTTGCTCAAACTGGCGGCAGACGTATATATATATATATATATATCATCTTCGGACAACATCTCTGCATTTCTCCGTAATACGGAAAACTTCCGGCTAAAACGCTCAATTAATAGTCATCTAATTTTCCATATCTTGAAATATCTGTTGCGCGACGCCGTGCCTCAGGTCTAGGATATTGTCATGTGTCGTCTTAGGAATAGTAACGCTTCTATAGTCGATGTTGTCACTACGCTGTTCCGATCTCCAGCAGTTATCAAGCCATCCCGGGGCCACTGCAGTCCCAATCATGCTATCCGATTCCGCAAAGAAAATACGAACCTTAAGCGGCGCGGCACTGCCGGTGTTGGCAGTGCGCCGCTCCCTTTCGGCCTGAGCCAACAGCGGCACAAGCGTATCATAATCGACCCAGGTGCCCCAACATCCCGGATACTCATCACGCTTCAGTAGCAAGAGTGCATCTTGACTGACACCTCGAACATCTTCGTCCGTGATCCGACTAAAGACTGCGGAAGAGAGACTCTCCTCCCTCGCGACGGCGTCCGCATCGACACCCGGGGCCATAACGTCGGGCCCTCGACTCAGAGACGGCACGAGTCCTGAGAGGACACTACTAAATTGGAATGCTGGGCCCATGTTACCCACGAGTTGAAGAACACGGTCAAAGCTTCCGACCAAGCCATTAGGCAAGAGCCCAGCGATTTTGAGAGTCGAGACGCCCGAGTGGGAGGGGTGAACCCACGGTGTGCAGAGGGCGACATAGGGATGAGTCGGGTGGAGGAAGTGGCGTAAGTGAAGCAGCACGTTCATAGCGTAGATCGCGCCGCCGCTGTAGCCGAGAACGGCGACATGTCTGACAGCGAGGCGCTGCAACAACACCTCGACGATCTCGAGCCAGACGCGGACCCGATCGGCGGGCGGGACGTCGGGCGTGCCGCCGAAACCAGGCCGGTCCGCGCTGATGATGCGCACGCCGTGCTGCTTGGCGATGTCGTCTTTGGTCGCGAGCACGTAGCGGCTAGGGCGCTGCTTAGCATGATTGCAGCCAACGCAGAGGACAACGCACTCTTTTCCAGCGCTTGATTTTTTTTTACCTTCCCACGAGCGGCCCACAGAAGAGCAGGACACGCTCGTCGTTGTGGTGGCCAAAGTCGGCGTAGGTCACCTTGAATTCGCCTGCCCGATCGGCGTTGGGCGGCAGCGTGAAGCTTTGGTGGAAACGCTCGTCGTCGAAGTACTGGGGCCCCGCAGCGCTTGCGTCGTCGTTATGGCTCGTCATGACGACGATAAGTTGGGTATCATGGACAATGCATTAGGGAATTGAAGGCAACCTATCGATTGACCTAAAAACGGACCTAAGTATAGAAGTTATCGTATGTTGTTGCCCGGGTGTGGATTCACCTAGGCCCTGGTACCCCCTCAATATTAGCACGCTGCTGTGCCCCTCACTCACCTCTGCTAGTTCAAGGTTCTGTGTCGCGACCCTGGTATGATGAGCAAGCAACAATCATTGCACTTTGCTATTGTGAGCTAGTAGACAACTCGCTTTTAGATTTATAGGTATTCTGTTATCGAGTTGGCTACTCGAATATTGATCTCACTAACAGTTGCATGATGCAGCATTGCCCAGCTTCAGTAAGTGAACCCGAGAAGGTCCGCTTAGATCAATCAACTTGCACTAAACATCCCTCGCCATCTTTATTTGAAAATACAGAGACACAGGAGCCAAATTGCACGAAATAAAAACCAGACGGCTATCGAATATTTGATATTTCTTCCGAAGTGGTAGCAGATGATCTAGGCATACAAACGTATACACCTGCATCCGCTAATACGTAGACGGGACAACAGCAAGCCGCCCTCCATCGAACGTAAATACGAGACCATTACAGTATGCGCCGGCCCTGCTAGCAAGATACAGGATCGATCCCGCGACCTCTTCCTCCGTGCCGAAGCGTCTCGCGGGCATGAAGTCGGGATGATCGAGGCCTTCCTTCTCCGGGTCGCGGGCTGCTATAAGAGGCTCTGCCATCTCGGACATGAAGACTGAGATTTGCATCGGTCAGCAACGCTTCTTTTATCGCGCAAGGTAAAATGTTTGGGAGGAGACATGTTGAAATAGGGAATACGGTAGGTAGGGAGGGGGACTCACATCCGGGCGCGAGCGTATTCACCCGGATCTGGTACGGCACCAAGTTCGTGGCTGCGTGTTGCGCGAGTTGCGTGATAGCGGCCTTGCTCGCCGCGTAGGCAGGCGACGACCTCTTCTCGCGGCTATAAGCGCTAAGGCTCGCCGTGAAGACGACCTGGCTCTGGATCAGCGGGACGGAGGCGCCTTCCGCCGGCTTCCCAAACCCCCCCTTCAGCGCATGTTTGTTTCCCGCATCGAGAAGCTCTAGGAATGCCAGCATGGTGAAGTACGCCGCCGTGACGTTGGCGTGCATCGTCTGCGTGAAGTCCGCCATGTCGACAGTGTCGAAGAGCCGGCGACGCAGCGCGTGGATGTCTAGCTCGCGGTCGAAGGACTCCGCCGGGCCGAAGACCGCCGCGTTCGCGATTAAGAGGTTCACGTATCCGGACTCGCGGGTGATAGTGTCCACGGCGCTTTGCAGCGCTTGCTTGTCTGTTACGTCGCAGACGAGCGGGACGATGTTGGCGTGTGAAGATGCGGCTGCTTCGAGGGCGCTTGCCCGCCGGCCTAGGATGTAGACTTTTGCTGCGCCCGCGCCTGCGAGGGCCTTCGCCATCATAAGGCCGATGCCTGCGCTCCGAGTGTCAGCGCTACATGTCCGTGGTGAGACGGAGTGACCCGGGGGAACGTACCAGTGCCGCCGCCCGTGATCACGGCTACCATGCCGTCGACTCTGAATAGCGCTGAAGTGTCCATTTTCAAGCTTGCGTTATGGCTTCAGTAAATTAGGTACCGATAGATAATACCACACCGCACTCTTTGTCCATTATTCCCGCGATACTCACATCTTCGCCTCCTTTATAAACAGACATAGATCATGAGAAGCGGCGATAGGGGATCGGCGATATCACACCCTATGATATCACCGATACAAGGATCAAAGTATCACAAGTACCAATGTGCTACTCATAAGCAGAATAAGGACTTAAGTGATGAATGCTCTATTAAGTCCGTTCATCCACCTAGGTTTATATTGGGAGGCTTGGTGTCACTGTTGGGTAGCAAGTGAGATGTTGATATTGCCGAAACCATAAGGGAATATGACATAGAATCTACCACGAGGGGTAGTATTAAGCACTGTCCCTCGTTACCTCACCACACCACCTTTAGATACTCTCCAGATATGGGTTGGGAAAGGTTGCGATACGGCCCTGACGTATGTTAATATGGGATGTGTACCCCGTTCCACGTGTGCAAAGCCGGATCGGTTCCGATCTAGACAATGTAGCGGATTTAGGGGCTTATGTCCACGAAGTCGATACATATCCAACATCCAATACACATTTAAATCTAAGACATACTCAATATCGCGTGCTTTAAGATCCAATAATGAGGCTACTTGGCTCTCGCATAGATGAGAGTGCATGACATTCATGCAAGCTTACTAAATATCTGATATCAAAAGCGCCTCTCACTATCATAGAGTCGCAAGTTTCGATTGAAATGCCTAGAGATCGGACATGTTGACCAGCTTTCATGGGACCAAGTGCAGACATTAACTGATGCTGTGTGAATATTCATCATGCGGGTAGCCCATAATGGTCAAGCTATGCCTCATTACGAAGAATGGGGTTGCTCCTATGAGAGTAATCCACCGCTCTCATAGGAACAAGCTCGACAGCGGAAGCTATCCGACCACTAACACAGCAGGTAACAAACTAAGGGTAGATGATCGATACACTTCTCACACAGAACCCCCATTATCGACTCGACTCAACTCCCCTCACCTCACAATCCTCACCGTCCTCCCCTCCTCGCCCCTCTCCACAGCCTCCAGCCGGCCCCTCACGACCTCCCACACCTTATCCGCGAGCTCCTCAACGCCCATGTCCGCATCGACAATCTGTATATCCTCCTCCTCCTGCCTGAACTCGCCCTCGCCCTGCGCGCCCGCGCCCTCTCTATCCCTCGCAGTACTGCTATTCGTGCCGTTGCCGAATGGCCCTCTAGACGAAGACGGCCCTTTACTACTACCACCACCACCACCACCACCGGTAGCGGCCTTGCTGGCGCTGACGGCGGTCCCGAGGTCCCCCATGCTCAGCCCCCAGAACAGCTCGCGCACGCGGCGCTGCATCTCGCCCTTCTCGTAGACCTCGCCGCCCCAGCCGCCCCGCGCGCGCGCCACCGACTCCTCGAGGTCGAGGAACAGCACCATGTCCGGGCGCGGCAGGCCGAGCTCGGGCGCCTTCGCCCAGGAGAGGGAGAGAGAGGGGAGTTGCTTCGCTGCGCTGTAGACTATGCC